CCACGTGAGCCCAAAGCACAAGTGAACTGCAGCTGCTTCAGATGAAGAAAAAGGCACGGCTTGGTATGGAATCTCATTTCCTTTTTATCTTTCAAATTGTGAGCACTAAATTGAACGTTGTCTGGGTTTTTACATACCCGCCAATTACATTTTTAGTTGATGTAATACTTGAGTTGGAGGTGGTAAAATGTAATAGATACCCGATTCTGATAAAACTTGAGTCCCAAAATAGTAGGTGGAACCTGTATAAGGTGTAACAATATTGAAAAAGCAATATTGAGGTCTATCCCGATGGAGCCTAACTGTAGGTTCTTTATCGTTGGAAACGCCTCATAAAGCAACAGACTTGTGATTTCGTTTTACCCATTAATCTCTGTGCTTGATGGGTGCAGTAAAATTACAAGACAATAAAGATCTTAGGATAGCCCCAGCGTTCCTCCTAAAGAACAGCCATGAAGAAATACTTTTTCCCTCTGCAGGTGGGGGGGACGTGACATCAGTTGTGCTGACCCTTCTGAAATTGTGTTCATGAAAAGGTAATGTGCCCAGTTTTGCCTCATTTATTTTGATTGCAGCCTTTTAGAGCCTTGATGGCACATAATCCCACGTTCAGCCTGAAATTTGGATTTCTTAAAACAGTTCAAGATTCTGAAGTAACATAAAACAAGAGACCTTAATTTCCTTGAAGAAAATATGATTGCACCGTCCTAAATTCTGGGAAGATACTGCAAGGATGGAGAATATGAAAACATATTCTTCTGGTATATTTCAAATGTCTTAAAGTGATAATTAACTATGGAGCCTTGCTTTCAGTTTTCACATTGGAACTGGCAAGTGAAAATCCACCGCTAATTGCTGAAATAAATAGACCTTTCTTTTAGATCATAATATCTTAAGAGGTAGTCCTTGATGGATGATTGCCCAGCTTGCCCAGCATGGTTGTAAGTCATGACGGTCGTAAATAGGGTCACCCATATATCTGACCCAATTTTATAACTTTTTTTGTGGTGTAGGTTAGGCAAACACAGCAGGCCTAAAGCACCCATTATAATCATTAAGCAAACCAATGGTTCACTAGGAGGCTGGTCTTGCCAAAAATGCTGGCTTTTGGCAAAACCATCACATAACTGCAGAAAGCCATAAATGTGGACAGCCCATTGTCAAGTGCCCAACAAGCGGTCATAAGTCAAGGACTACCTGTATTTGGTCTCTACCAAGGCTGCTAGAAAATCTTATTTCTGGTATGCTGTGGACGTGACCGCAAAGCAACCCCTCTAGATTTTTTACACTGCTGCCATGGTAGCAACAAATCTGGTGGGAACATTAGGGGGTGGGGGAATTTAAGAATTGAGGGCCAGAATCTAAAAGCTTTAAACCGAAGAATGTCTCTAGCTTTCTGTGTCTTCCCTTGCATCTCGGCTCTACTTGCGTTCTCATCTAAAACAGATTAATAAACCAGAACAAGATTCACTTGATGCTTATCATGTTTTCCCCCCCGTTTTCAGTCGTGAGCCTTTATCGAAATACCCCTGACGAAATCTCAGTGGGGATCTGCAGAGTTGGCTGAAAGCGGACTCAAGCTAAAGGTAAAAAAGAAGGCTGTGGAAGTTGCTGGGCAGAAGGTCACTTCAAAGAGGGTTGTGTGCTGATCAACAAGCAGCTCTTAACGCGGTGACCGTACATGGAAGTCCTCTGTAGGATATCAAGGCGATTTGGAGTGCTCTGTGATCTGTACGAGAGGAGACACCTTTGGGAGTCAGAAGTAGTTGGATGGCTCCCTTGTAGAGGGGTCCTCAACCTTGGCAACTTTCAGACTTGTGGACTTCAACTCCCAGAATTCCTCAGCCAGCAAAGCTGGCTGAGGAATTCTGGGAGTTGAAGTCCACAAGTCTGAAAGTTGCCAAGGTTGAGGACCCCTGCCCTTGTAGGTCATTTAGGATGAACAGCTAAATGAAAGTTGGGGAAAGTCCGTTATAAATTTCAATCACTCTTCAGAAGAAGTATCTTCCCCTGGGCTACAGGGACCAAAACAAGCAGCTAAACTAGCTCTATAAATCTCCCTTGAGGGTTGGTGAAAAGAAAAGGCCAAGCCAAAAATACATTGATTTACCTCATGAAAATACTCTTCTTCTATTTTAGGTAGCTGACACTTGGAAGAATGCTGAGAGGATGACCTGGAACAGAATGGTCTCTGCCAAATATTTGGGCCTTGATGCTTGAAAAATTGTGGAAATTCACCGAGCGACTATTTTCTTAACAAAAGCTTGAGATCTGTGTCTTTTAAGCAGCCATGCTCTTGGGTACTTCTAATTGTTAAACAGATATTGATTTGAATAATCTTAGCTTTCTCCAACTGCATTTGCAGTTTTGCTGTACTGTGGTTTAATTATGGCTTAATTAATAAATGATATTAAGCATTAGTCATACAACTGAATTCTGTTTCCTGATCTTGTATACATTATTTACATTTTGGCGTTGTTCCTCTATCTTTTTTATATCTCACTAGCTGTACCTCGCCACGCGTTGCTGTGGCTGAGTGGTTAAATGGAAAAGAAAGAAAAGAGAAAGCGCACGTTTGTAATATGTTTAATTTCACAATGCTTGTGGGTATACAATATTTTTTGTTGTTCCATTGTCTGTGCAGATATAGAGATTGTCTGGTTTGCCGACTCTAGAACACGCAACATATAATTGTCCATGTGAGAAGCAATCCGTGTCTAGATCTAAACCGCACAA